AATAAATAAATAAATAAATAAATAAAATTAAAAAAAAATTTAAACAAAAGAATTAAATGATACACTGAAATCCTTAGAACAATGCCTAGTTATAGTAAGGTGATGAATAAATGCTAAGTGTATTGTCATCATCCAAATATCCTTTTGACTAAAATATAGAAAATGGATTGTAAGGAAAGAGAGGATTTGGGTAGACTAGTTAGAATAATATTCTGGTAGTTGCTATAAAAAAATGAAGAGGTCTAAGACCGAGTGGTATTGTAGATAAAGCAATACAGAAAAATGAATTCCATATATATTTAGGAGTAGAATTGACAAGACTTATCACCATCCAACATGCTTATTTTGTTCATATTTTCTCTCCAACCACTAGAATGTAAGCTCCATAAAGACTAAGAGTTTTGTGCTTTTTCACTGCTGCATCCTCAGGGATGTTACCCTCAGTAACAGGGCCTGGCTCATATTGTTTTGTAAACATTATTGAATGAATAAGAAATAGATTGGATGGAAGTGAGAAGGAGAAGAAAATGCTAAGGTTAACTCTCAAGTTCCTGGTTTGTGCAAGTAGATGGTATGTGGTTCCATGTCTGAAACAAGGACCACGTCTTGGGGGTTAAAGTCCTAGATTGCTTTTTGGACATAGTTCAAGATGCCTCTGAGACTGCCAGAGGGAGATGTCAAGGAGGCAACTGGATATAACCATCTGGAGCTCCAGTGAGAGTGTTGGCTGGTAAATATGTATGTATCAATTATAATTGAAACTGCAGGTATGGATGAGCTGAGCCAGGGAGAGAGTATAGAATAAGAAGCGAAGAGGGCCAGGTATAAGCCTTGAACAATTCCATCACTGAGTAACAAGAGAAGAGACAAAGAAGGGGCCAAGCTACAGATGGAACACCTGGACAATGATGTGATAAATGCTTAGGAAGCAGGAGACAGCTCCCAGGAGGGTGTGGTCAATATTACGTACTTAAGTATCCTGAAGTTCATGGCACTATTTACACAGTAGTTTATTGGTGCACTGTCAACTAAATATTGATAATATTAAATAGTTCACGAGCCCTCAGTGACATTAAGTGAATTCTCGTTATAGGACACTGGAGTTATTTGAACTCACAGAGTAACTGCATTAATATTCTTTGAACTGTTCATTTTAGAAGGAATAATGATCTGTTTGGAATTAGAGATATGATCTTTTTACAGTACTAAGGTTAGAACCTGCCTGTCTGGCTGGATCCTTATGTATACTCAACACAATTGTTTCTTGCAAGCAACCTAATTTATTCTGTGGAGGGAAGGCTGAGGAAAGGGCTGCTCCTGTACAAGAATTCTCTGTAGATGGAAAGTAATGTTTAGGATCTCCTTAGGTTTCACTAAGATTAAATTTCCTGTTTAAGTGGAATGTTTCATTAATTAGCTTTTATTTGTCTCCTTCAGTTGGAAGTCTAACCATTGTCTGTAATAGATATGCATTGTTTTGGAAGTATTTGTACTTCATTCAAATATCTAAATTTGCTTTGGACTATTATTTTGAACCAAAATTTATTTTGGGTTACCTTCTAATTTTCTTAAGATCATTGTTAACAAGAGTATTTTAGAGTTTTATCAATTGTAAAATATTCTCTACTGATTCTACAAATTTGAATTTTTTTTTAATGTTTACTTATTTTTGAGGGGGGTTGGAGGTGGAGAGAGGGAGACACAGAAACCAAAGCAAGCTCCAGGCTCTGAGCTGTCAGCACAGAGCCTGACGCGGGGCTTGAACTCAGGAACAGCGAGATCCTGACCTGAGCCAAAGTCGGCCGCTCAACTGACTGAACCACCCAGGTGCCCCTAATGCTACAAATTTAGACAAACTTTAAAAATTTATTTAAGAACATTTGCTGGTAAATCATAAGCTTACTTTTGGAAGCAGTAATTTGCCTAATGAAAGTCTACATTATTCCAGTTTTGTTAGTGAGTGTTTTGTTCTGAGAAAGAATTGTAGTGTGTTCCTACATATGGATATGGCAAGAATTATCTTCGACAGGCCTTCCACAGAGGCGTTTTGAATGCCCTGTTTGCACTTTGTACAGTTCAGTGGCTGATTGTTTGGCTGAACTGAGTTCACACTGCCTGCTATTATGTCATCCCTCCTGAGTATTGCTGTGTTTGGGAGGAGGGCTAATCCACAACTCTGGCCTTTTCTCTTGGAGAGTATTGTCATTTGTGTACTGTGATTCTAAAAACTGTATTTCTTCTCAAATGAAAAAATTAGGAACTCAGTTGTTTTATGTGCATTCCAACCCACCCTAAAGTCATGTATATGCAGCTAAATCTGACCTTGAGCTTTATATGATAGAATCTTTGAGCTCAGAGTTAGTTAAATTCAACACTTTCCTGCAACGTCAACCGAGGCTGATGTGTTACGCTTGATGCTGTAAGTTTAGACAGAAGCTATGAAAAACCTCTAGTTGAACCATAGACAAGATAGCTTCCCTTGGCCACTCAAATTCTCACCTTTCCTCTGATCTTTAGTTTCTTTTACTCTCTGCTCCAAAACCTTGGCTTATGTGACTCTTCAAACTCACCCACTTAGACTTAAGCTAACACACCTGTTTACCTTTTTTTTTTTTTTTTT